GGTTAAAAAAGAGAGAGAAAAGAAATATAATAAAAATACTTAATAATACCTTTTTTTTTTTTTTTGAGATGGAGTCTCTCGTTCTGTTACCAGGCTGGAGTGCAGTGGTGTGATCTTGGCTCACTGCAACCTCCACCCGCTGAGTTCAAGCAGTTCTGCCTCAGCCACCTGGCTTGCTGGGATTACAGGTGTGCACCACCATGCCCAGCTAATTTTTATATTTTTAGTAGAGATGGAGTTTCACTATGTTGGCCAGTCTGGTCTCGATCTCTTGACCTCGTGATCTGCCCTCCTCAGCCTCCCAAAGTGCTGGGATTACAGGCGTGATCCACCGCGCCCGGCTAAGTCTTTAAATATTTTTTTTTTTTGACATTGCACTTTTTCTCTTTTCCTTCTAGGATTTTAGTAACCCAAATGTTAGTTTTGTTATTGTTTGGCAGGTTCTTTTGGCCTTATTTACTTCTTTAAATTCTTTTTTTCTGTTGTTCAACTTTGAAAATTTCTATTCATCTGTCTTCAAAGTCACTGGTTCTTTCCCCTGTCATTTCCATTCTGTTATTGAGTCTTTGTGGTGAATTTTAAATTTTGTTTATTATGTTTTTTAGTTCTAAAATTTCTTTTTTTGTGTATGTCTTTTACTTTCCTCTTGAAACTCTTATCATTTGTTTCAAGAGTGACTTTATTTCTTAGAGCATGGTTTTAGTAGCTACTTAAAATTTGTTTTATAATCCCACCATATGTGTCCTCTTGATTGTCTTTTCTCTTGTGAGATAATGGGATTTTCTGGTTCTTTGTATGACAATTAATTTTGGTTTGTATCTTGGACAGTTTGACTTATATTACATGATTCTGAATCTTATTTAAATCCTGTGGAAAATACTGAAGTTTTTGCTTTAACAAGCAGTTGACTTATTTAGGTTCAGGCCACAAATTCCAACCAGCATTCTGTAGGCTCTGGTTCCATCATCAGTTCAGTTTTGTATCTTATCGGCTTATATGCCTTTTTGTGTCCAGTCTGGGACCTGGCCAATGGGCAGGTCCCAAAGCCTTTGTATACTCTCAGAAGCAGGGCCATGCACACCCAGCTCACGAGTGGCCCCAGGAGTGCACATACAACTATACGTTTTCACGGGCTCCTTCTTTTCTATAATGTCCCTGACACTTTCTGCCTCCTGAGAACCTCCCTTTATCCCTTTCCTGTTGTCTGGCTAGAAAGTCAGGGCTTTAGAGTCCCTATACTTCAGCACACTTCCTGTAGTTATGTCACCCTCTGTGGCCAAGACTTCTCTTCTTCCTCTTGGGACTGCAGTTTCTCTTGTCAGAAAGTAGGATTCTTGGAGCGGCTGTCATTGCTGCTGTGGCTGCTCTGATACTGCCTGGGAGTCAAAGGAGAAAGGAACAAAACACAACGACCCAGGGGATTTCCTCCACTCTCTTTAATCCGTGAGAACCCTCTTTCCTGTTCCTCAGACCAGAAATAGAGGGCCTCTCTTGGAACTTCTTCTTTGTGCATCTAGTGTGCAGTTACAGCTTTTGAGTCCAGGCCAGGAGGTGCTGGACAAACTTGTCAGGAGTATGGAGGTACTGCGAGTTCTGGTTACTTTTCTCAGCCCACCTGATTCCAAGTCCTTGGATACATTTGTCCACTGTTGTTAGTTGCATTCCATGGGAGAGACAGAAGAGTGCTTATTTCGTCTTGACCTACTTATTAGGATTTCAAATCAAATCAAAGGATGATATTCTCTATATTAATTTGCTGTTTTCCCTTTAGCAAGCACATTAGGAAGATAATACTTTAACACCGCCTGTGGTGGTTTCTGTCATAATTGTTAATACTTACTTTTTTTTTTTTGGAGACGGAGTCTCGCTCTGTCGCCCAGGCTGGAGCACAGTGATGCCATCTCGGCTAACTGCAAGCTCTGCCTCCCGGGTTCATGCCATTCTCCTGGCCTCAGCCTCCCAAGTAGCTGGGACTGCAGGCTCCTGCCACCACGCCCAGCTAATGTTTTTTAGCAGAGGTGGGGTTTCACCGTGTTAGCCAGGTTGGTCTCGATCTCCTGACCTCGTGATCCACCCGTCTCGGCCTCCCAAAGTGCTGGGATTACAGGTGTGAGCCACCGCGCCCAGCCAATTATTAATACTTTCATTGTATTAAAACCTCTTGAACTCCAGAAGATAGCTTTATAGTAACATCTCTTATATTTGCATATAAAATTTGTCTGGAGCCTAGAAATTCTTACTCTCTCTTCTCCTGGTAGTTCTAGCTCCCGTTTTTCATAAAGAATGGATAATCTCTTTCTTGAATAAACCTTTTCATATTTGCATATATCACTACTCTTGGATGGCCTAGAATTTCTTGAATATGTCCTTGTTACTCCTTTTACCAATGAACAGATTTGTAATGGCCTACTACTTTTGTAACTGAAAATCAATACAAAGAACTCAAAATCAGTGTATAATTTCTTTTGACTAAATTCTTTAGGATACAGTCATGCTTTGTACTTGGTATTTGAATAGATACTAAGCTTAATTTTAGGGTCTTGCTTTATGCAGAGAGGTGGAAGTTAACAAAATAATTTCTTCTGTACTGACTTTGATAAATTTACTAATCTTGCATTTTGCCTAGAACACATACTCCTTCATAGCCCCTTACCTGACTGCCTGATGGTCTTTTAGGAATAGGCCTGCCCATCGTGTCTTGAGGTGGAGCCCCACTCCCATTGCTTATCTTCTCTGCTTTAAGCTGTCTTTCTGTCTTTATCTTCAGACATCTTCCCTCTGCCTAAGGAGAATTCCTGACCTCAAAATTTTTCATAAAGATATTGCTAACAATTTAAGATAACAGGAAAACATGTGGTAATATATGTAGTAAATTCATTCTTTCAACAGGTCTTTGTGGTAAGTTCATTCTTTTAGCAAATGTTTATTAAGCACTTTTTTTATATACCGAGACACCAGCGGTACAGTAATAAATGGAATAATCACAAGCTGATCATTCAGCAAAATTTTTGTCCATTGCATGAATTTATAGTCTAAAGAATTTGTTACCTTCAATACTTTAATTGTTCTAACAGATTTATACTTCAAACTGTTACTTCATGTGCCCTGAAACTGTCATACCACGGCTTGACAAATCGGTGATCTAAAATATATCCATTTTGGGCCGGGCACAGTGGCTCATGCCTGTAATCCCCAGCACTTTGGGAGGCCGAGGCAGGCAGATC